ATCATTGGGTGATGGGGAACCGTTCAACTGCTTAGTTGATTTTCTCTTTTATAGGTAGCCTTATTAGTTAGCTTAGTAAATGGGAAGGTTTTCATTAAATGGTTAAGCCCAGCAGTGCTAAAAGCTTATCAATGGCAGGTAAGGAATTTTCTCCATAACCAAACACGATTACTGTTATGTTTTAAGCAACGTTGAAGCTGATGAAAAACTTGCAGATGAATTCACTTGAATCCACGTACAGAGAAATCTCAGACATATATGATGTAAATGGAGGAAAGGGGTTATCCAGAAGTTACATTCAAAAGCTTCCGATGCATGAATTTGGTTCCAAGGCGGAATCTTCTTGTTCAATTTGTATACAGGTAAGGATTCGGTTGATAGCTTCGAAATTTGAATATCGATATCTATAATTTTATTTAAAAGAGTTATAGGGCTGTTAGATGAGGTTTTGTGTGTGTATAGGAACTAAAGGATGGAGAAATGGCAAGAAATCTTCCGAGATGTGGGCACATCTTTCACTTGAAATGCATAGATAAGATGAATTGTTAAGCAGGCAAGGAACTTGTCCCATGTGTAGACAGCATGTTCTTACTGATGACGATGAATTGTAAATAATATCAAATTTTGATTCACCAAAAATTAAGGGTTTTCATTTTTAGTTGTATTGCCGGTCTATTGTTTGAGAGGGGAATTAATGGGCAAAAATCCTCAGATAATGCATTGAAAAAAAATATTTCTTCAAATATTGCTGTTGAAAAATTATTTATTGAAATGAGGTTATTACTATAGTAATATGCTTGGTTGCCAGGTGGTACAAACGATCTATGTAGAGGTCGCCATGCAAGCACATGTCGCCATGCAAGCCATGTGAATCCGGGAATTAGCGCTTAAAACAAAGGAGTTGGAGTTGGGGAAAGTTTGCACCACCTAGCGACCAAGCAGTGACACCACCCAACTCGGAGTGTTTACATTTGTGATGTATTTAAAGTTTAAATAATAATCATAATTTTTATATCGAATTGTGTACAATTGGAAGCTTGCATTCTTCAAATTGTAAAGGAGAGCTGAGTATTAATGTAGTTATACATATAATTATTTTTTTTAATTTAAAGAGGGGGAGACGCATGGTGGTCTATGCGACACCACCATGCATTTGCCAAGAGTTCAATACGCTACCAAGTGTCGCCAGGACTGCAATGCAACATCGCCAAGGGTCGCCAGGACTGCAATACGACATTACCATGTACTGTAGCAATCACTTCATTTCGTGAAATAATCTCTCTATAGCATTACCCGACAAAATATATTTTCTCATTACATTATTTTAAAAATTCAGCCGGAATTAATGATGCATATGACGCAAAAAAGTTTTTTTTTTAAATGATGTTGTGTGCATATATATTTATATATATATGGTAGACTACATAGATAGTCATTTAATTATGAGAAATTTTTATTTTAACTATTGATTTTTATATTTTGTTAATTATATCATTTAACTATTTAAATGATATTAACTTATTATTGATGAAAGGGATAAAGATGACGTGATTATTTTAATAGAGGAGAGGACGTTACAGTTAATAATTAATATAAAGAATGGTTGAGATGATGCTTAAACCTAAGTATTTGAGGGGAGAAAGGAGATGCTAAGACCACTAGCCTAAGTGTAATGTTTGGTTTAATTATTATAATATTATATAAATGTCTTAAATATCTTATTTATATAAGAATCTCTATTAAATGTTAACGATGAGTGATTCGATTAACAACACTTAAATAATTAAAAGATATGATTGATAAAATTAAAATATCAATGTTCAAAATAGAATCTATACATAATTAGATTATCTTGGGTGAATTTACCCTTATGTTTAATCTAACCCAAATAGTTTATTACCACTAATTTAATCTTACCCAAAACAAAATTATCAAATTTACAACCATCAACTATGGGCTGAACATAAGCATCTTAGGCTTCACCAAGCGAAGGGCAATCTAGTCTACGTACAGAAACAAACAAGCCCCAGTCATTTTGATTTTAACTTTCTTTTCAGCTCAGTTCACAAGAGCACAAGACCAAGTGAAGACAAAGAACCAGAGAACGAGAGAGAGAGAGAGAGAGGGTGAAATGGCTTGGTGTGGTTTTAGGTCAATTCATGTTCCTACCATCGATGTGGGACTTCTACGCACTCGCTCTCCATTAACCGCCGTCGGAGGAGTCGTTGTTGGCTCTTCCTTATGGCGATCCTCCTCAAGAAACGGCTCTCCTTTTGCTTGCTTAAGCCTCTCCACTTCTCCTGGTAAAAAACAAACCATCAGTAAAATAATGGGTTCTTTTACTGTTTGATTTTGATTTGATGGATTGCTTTTGAAAATGGGCTAGCTAGTTTGGTTTTGCATTTTAGTTTTAATCGATTCGTAAAAAGTGTTGGTTTCAATCAAGTGGACATGAAGCGGGAAAGAACAGGGTTGTGACTTGTGAAACATCTGGCCTTGGGTTTATAGTGGTTAATTGATAGTTTGTCAGTTAGTCGTTTTTGTAAGAGAAATTTGGGGAATTTATATTTGATTTCGTTGCAATTGTACTAAATTGTGTTTGGAAGTCTTTGGAAAATAGCCTATAATGATTGCTAAGGGTTTGCTAATGCTATGATTCGAATATATACAAATGGGCATGTCCTTAAAGGGTTGTTTCGTTGGACCAAATGTGAGTGTGGATATGAGCATGTTTGTGTTAGGAAAAGTAAACAGTCGGGCAATATGGGTTTATTAGATGCACCTAAGGATTGTGATTATGTTTTTGATTGTAGGGATTAAGGAGGCTGTGGTGACTGGAAATGCTCCTGCAGCATTGGGACCATATTCTCAGGCCATCAAGGCCAATAATCTTCTATTTATCTCTGGTGTTCTCGGTCTTATTCCAGAGGTTTGTGGCATGTTCATTAAATGTTCTTCACATGTTAAGCTTGCATTCCTAGTCTATTTTACTTGGACTCGTAGTAAATGTGCCGAATATGTATATAGAGTTCAGGTGAGATAGATCCTAGGTTTCGATTATATACACAATGTACTTATCATGTGTATTGGTTTTCTATTCTAGACTGGAAAGTTCATCTCAGACAGTGTAGAAGATCAATCCGAGCAGGTATCTTACTTTTACGTGAACTAATGTTTCATAATTTTATAGCTGAATGCATGCTAGTGACTGAATTTTCTTTGTGATTCTATAGGTACTAAAAAATATGGGTGAAATACTGAAAGCTGGTGGTGCTGACTATTCCTCGGTGGTTAAGACAACAATTATGTACGATTTTCGCTTCCGTTTTTGTTTGTTATATGTTGAGAAGATTTGATAATAAAATATCAATAAGATCTTATTTGGTTCTTGGGCTTCCTTTGTGCAGGCTAGCTGACTTGAAAGACTTCAAGAAAGTAAATGAGATCTATGCAAAATGTGAGTACAAAAGTTAAAATCCGTTTTTCGTTCAAAATTATATGGTTTCGCCAGTTTATCTTAAACCTTGTATTCATATACAAAATTTATAAATGAAAACTAGTTCATCATTATATAACTTGGTATTTGAATGAGTTAATAAAGTGCAGTTTGGGTTTTGCAATCAAACGGCTTGTTTTAGGCCACACATTAATCTGAGCATTGCATCGAAATTAATTTCAAAAGTTATATGTGCACAGTGTGCTTATTCATCAATGAACCTCTTGCAGAAAGTTGTGACCTATCAAAATCATCGACTAGAATTTTCATGCCAACACAACAACATCGTAGAAACTAGAAATTTTAATTCTGTCCCTGAAACTGGTTTGTGTTGCAGACTTCCCTTCACCTGCACCGGCTCGTTCGACATATCAGGTAGCAGCATTGCCATTGGATGCCAAGATTGAAATCGAATGCATTGCGACACTGAAGGATTGATGACAGGGAGTTTGAAGGTATTAAGACAGGAAACTAAGCTCTGATTTGCAGTTATAGCTAGAAAAAGGCAACTGTCGCATAGCAGAGGTACAATGGGCAAAAACTTTGATTATGATATTTGAACTTAATAATGTTTGAGACAAGAATATACAAGTTGTCATGAATTTGTGTCCGGTTCATGGTTAAGCAGAGCTTTGAATCGTTTATTCGAGTTCAAGTTCAATTTTGTATTTGATATATCGACGTGTTCTTTTTAATAAAAAAAATATAAATAATGTTATGAATTCTTTGGATTTTATTCGATTTGAACATGATACATGCCAAAATATAAAAGAATGTGCTGCCTGCTTAAATATGATCAACGTGATACATGTATCATGCATACCTTACTCATGTTTATATTTCACCAATTATCACTATATATAATATACTTTCTTAAAAATCTTATTTCTATTGAAAATGACAAGCTTAATAGAATAGCAAAAAAATCCAAATATCATTATTTATTTATTTATTTTTGTAAAAATAAGCGCTAATATTATCCACAAAACTGAGTAATAAGTAATGGAATATGAAAACTTTTATAATTTAGGAAAGGTAATTAGCCAATCTTAATTATGAAAATTTGTTTTACTTGCCTGAAATCCATTCCTCCTGATTTACTTCCCAAATCTAAAATAACATTACTATTCTCTTTTCACGTATTTTAATTAATAGAGTTGATTCTTAATATATTTAGAATTGAAACCTAATTCACATTATTATTGGCGAATTGATTCAATAAAATAATAATATGTATATCATTTATATATTTTATAATTCTTAGAATTTTTTTCAGTTATGATATTAATATAAATTATTTTGATAAAAAATTATTTTCTTAAAAAAACCCAAGTTATCGTTTCCAAATTCCATGTTGGACATGCAAAAAAAAAACGTGACGAAACGGTCCCTGAATAATGTTATGTGTTCCCAGTTCCCAAAAAAGTTATCTGTTCCGACTTCTCATGTAGCAAAATCATCAGACAAAATCTGCGGATCTAAGAACTGCCGCAACTTCAAAATCTATAGAAGAAATCTAGGCTAACTGCATAATGGCGAGCTCACCCTTGTCTCTGATCTCCAAACCACCATCAATCACCCTTCTCCACCACCAACGTCCACCGCTACCCACCGTCCGTGTCAGTGCCGCAACCTCCACAACAATGCCAAACCACCACCCTTCACTCGAAATCACAGGTGGAGGAGCTAAGCGTTTCCTCCCTGCTCTCAATACCCGCCACCATCCTTACAAGCCTTTTCCCATCATTGGTTGGAACCGCCATCTCGAGACCATATTCGCCGCCTTCTTCCGTACCGTTCCCGACGTTAAGTACCGCCGTGAGTGCCTCCGAACCAAAGACAACGGCACCATAGCCTTGGATTGGGTCTGTGGCGACCACAGCACCTTGCCTCCCGACTCTCCGATCCTCATTTTACTGGTTTGTTTTACATATATCTCGAATCTGTATTACCTGTTCTAAATACCGTTTTGTTTGATTTGTTGAAAGGAGGGAAAAGCAGTGAATTTCAATGGTTTAATTTCCTACCCCATTCTTTGGTTGGTGGGAAGGGCTAACAGGAGGGAGTCAGGATTCATACGTGAAGCAGATGTTGGTGAAAGCTAAGAGCAAAGGCTGGAGGGTTGTGGTGTTCAATAGCAGGGGGTGTGCAAATAGCCCTGTTACTACTCCTCAGGTACTGTACTAACATAATTTATTTTTTTACGGATTTAAATTAAGGTCACGGACGTATGTTTAATTTTATCCCTGATTTGCAGCTCCAAACAGATTCATTCACGGCAGATACTTGTCATGTTGTAGATCATGTTTCCTCCATGTTCCCGGAAGCAAGTATTTACGGTGTCGATTGGTCTCTTGGAGGGAACATCCTTGTTAACTACTTGGGAAGGGTAAGGGAATTTCCTTATTATGTCTGAACATATATCCGACGTATATAATGAAGAGTCTGAATAATATAGTACGTTTAGTATATAAGTTTCTTAATTTTCTGGATTGCAGGAGTACCATAGATGTTCTCTTTCTGGTGCTGTATCACTATGCAATCCTTTCAATTTAGTTATTGCAGATGAAAATCTCCGAAAGGGCTTCAACAATATTTATGACAGAGAACTTAGGGGAGGTCTTTCTGCAACTTTTTCGAAGCAATTATCCATGAAATTCCTCTCACTGATTGTGTTAATTGCATTAAAATTTGAAGATGTCCTTTTTGAGTACAATATAACCTGAAATTATTCTGCAATGGTAGACATGTTTCCCTGTTTGAAGATGTACATGATGAATATAATGTCCAAGCGGGTCTGAATCCTTGTACAGTACATGAATACGATGAAGCAATAACACGAGGTATATTTTTCCAGACATCAAATCTGTGTTACTCGAACTCGGAATAGGCTATGTGTTTGATATTATGGTTGAAGGATTATCACTTCAATGAAAATGAAGAATCATTGTAACATAGCATTTCCTTGCTGTTCAAGCAATGTTTGTTTGATGACAGACTTAAAAAATTAACTACTAGAGTTACTATCTTCAACACCTTGCAGTATCATTGGGTTACAAATCAGTGGATGACTATTACTCAAATTCTTGTAGTTGTCATGTTGTTCAACATGTTAGGATTCCTTTGCTTTGCATCCAGGTAATTTTATGAGCAGTTCATAGCATTTCCTTGCTGTTCAAACATTGTTTTACCATCTGTTTTCCTTCAAAACTGGGTTCATTTATGGTGGTTTGCAGGCTGCAAATGATCCGATAGCTCCCATCGAGGCAACTCCTTACGAAGATATCAAGGTAAGTTTGGGTCATCTTGTGAGCCATATCCTACCATTTACTTAATGTTTTAATCGGCAAAGATGATAATGTTTCTCCATCCATGTGTGGTTTTTTATGTTTCAAGGAAAATCCGAACAGCATGCTGATAGTAACACCCCAGGGTGGCCATTTAGGATGGGTTGCCGGTGATGAGGCACCCTTTGGAGCTCCTTGGACAGATAATGTGGTGATGGATTTTCTCGAACATCTGCGGAACGGAGCATCAAACAACAACGCGTCGAAGCCCGAAGCATTTTGAGCCATGGATATACAAAGGTCTGCAAGAGGATTCAGAGGGCTTGCATCAAACAGTAATACTGTTGGCAGAGAGCATGCTTGCACATTGTTATCATCTAATCTTTGAATGTAGAATCATAACATTAGAGCTCCATTAGAGAAAGATTACGATCCATATTGTTCACGGAGCGCAGTGAATCATGTTCAACAAATGTGTTATTGACCACATTTCTCATCTCCTATAAACATTTTCAGGATATGTTTTGTGGGACTTGTGAGCTTCAATATATTCTCCAAGAATCTTCTTCTTAATCTCTGCTATTTAGTTGGGTGAAAATAATATTTTTGGCCATATATTTTGACATTGTCGAAGACATAAAATATATGCATTCAAAATCATTTTGTGTTATTGACGGTATTTTTTTAACGGTTATTACGATATAAATATTTAAAATGATAACGTTTGTAACGTTAGATACTCACATTGACCGAAAAATATTAAATATTTAAATGAAAAATGATTTATAATTTGAATATTTTTTTATTAAACCTTTATTAAATAAATGCAAACATTTGCTCTGATTTTTCTTTTTTGAGTACAATATTGAAGTGTTGAAGTGTTAAAATCTAATATTTTATCTTATTAACTTAATTAATAATTAATTATATATTTTTATTAAGTTACATCTAAACATTTGTGGATATTTTTGAATTAATGAAAGAAACAATAGTCAATTACTCCAACTTTGCCAACAAACTCCTTTAGGGACCCGCTTTAAACCTGTGTCAATCCCGCTCACAAGTGTCAATAATAAGACTCATTACTTACACATGGCACATTTTCATTGCTCCTTTTCACAACCTCTTCAAACTTGCTGTCACTTTATCTTTCCTCACTACCAAAATGACAAAAATTTAATGAGATGAAAAAAATGAGAAAATAATTTAAATGACCGAAAATGTCTTATAATATACGATTTTAATCAATTTTTTTAGATTTGCGAAAATTACCAACAAATTCGCAACACGAATTCCAATTTCGCAACACAGTTTCTAAATTCGCAACGCGATTTTCAAATTCGCAACATTGAATTTCAAATTCGTAACTCGATTTCTGAATTCGCAACGCGAATTTTGTTTTCGCAACTCGATTTTCGAATTCGCAACACGAATTTTAATTTCGCACCAGGTTTTATTTTCGCAACACAAATGTTTTTTGTATATAACTACGCAGCAACAGCAACTCATAACCTAAATCCCTAAATCGTAACTCATTTCATCTCCATCTTTCACTCTCTCCGACGACATCCGTTCCTATATCCAACGGCATCCCTCCACATCTCTAATTTTTTTTACATAATTTTATTTCTATATAATTTTTCAATGATTTCTCTCCCAAATTATCAACTATCAACTTAATAAATGTATGTTTTTCTCTAAGTTAGTGATATGATATGTAGTTTATAGCTCGTTTATTTAGTAAATTAATTTACAATTTGTAGAATGAAATCATCTAATGTTGATCATGTTTGGATAGATTTGTGTTTTGGAGGGTCATGAGAAAATGTTCATGGTGTTTTACAATATATGCATTTACCCATGAATCTTCAACTAAAAGTGTCATTAAAAAGTTAACTTATGAAACTCTAATGTTATGTGTTACAAAGAAATTGAATTTAGAGCTTCTAAGTGGATTTAGACTATCTTATCAGAGAATAGGTAAAGTTTATTTGTTAACCGACAATAAAGATGTTGAACGATTCATTGCTTACATTAGTGTTTCGCAAGAAGATGATGTTACATTGTATGTTGTTGAACTTAGAAGTAGTGAAGTTGGGCCAGTAGCGTGTTATAATCAACTAAGTTCTTCAACCCCAGTTTATGGTGCTCACAATGTATAATGTTGTTATCAACCTCAAAATTTAATGGTCCCACCACAATTTCATCACAAAGAAAATTTTGTTTCACCACATTTTCAATACCAAACACGATATCAAACACAATCTCAAAACCCACAACATTTTCCTAATCTAAATCTCAATCAACTTTCAGCACCAAATTCCAGTTTTCGTATTGACCAATTATACGACTATGAGCTAACAAAAAAAATTGTGAGTACTAGTCAGTATTCGAAATTTGATCTTGGTCAATACTCGGATTTTGATCTTGGTCAATACCCGGATTTTGATCTTGGTCAATACTCGGATTTTGATGATGTTTCAGAAGAAGAAACAGACACTGCGTGTAATTATTTTGATATTGGTCAATACCCGAATTTTGATGATGAAAAAGTCGTTGCCGAGGAAGATGTTGTTGATAATAATGAGGAGGAAGTTACGATTGTGAATGAACATGTTGAACATCCATTCTATAATTCATATAACCCTAAAGAAGAAGAAGAAGAAGAAGTCCCCGAAGAAAAGAAAAAGAAGAAAATACCACGGGAGTATAACTGGAATATGCCAGAATTACTTCACATACCGGAAGAAGAGTTGGTAAAGATAGCAGTTGATTGTTACACAAAAGTTATTCGTATCAAGAAAGATGATTGTTTTGATACAAATGAAGACTTGAAGATAGCTTTGTATACGAAATGTGTGGAAGATGGATATCAACTAAAAGTTAACAAATAAAGCAAAGATCGTTTCGAAACAAAGTGTATGATTGATAAAAACTGTACGTGGCGTATGATTGCAAAGAGGATAAAAGATTGCGAAATGTTTCAAGTTAAGACTTTTATTAATAAGCAAACATGTTCAAGAACCCAAGTTTTTCCTCACCATAGACAGACAAACAAAAAGGTGTCGGATGGTTTTCTGTCTGAGTTAATGTTTTTGAATGGCATGATATATCGGGGATATGAAATTATGACTGATATGAATGCTCGATTCAAGATTAGTATCTCATATTCTCAAGCTTGGAGAGCCAAATGTTATGCCTTGGAATTGTTGAGGGGGTCCCCAGAAGTATCGTTTGCCAAACTGTCGGCTTATTATCACAATTTAAAGCTGAAAAATCCTGGGTCGGTAACTCATATCAAAACAGATAGAGATGGGCGCTTTGAGTTGATGTTTATCGCCATTGGTGTTGCGGTTAGTAAATCAATATAATTTTGTTGACTCATTTTTGTTAGTTACATGCATTTTATATTTAAATGATTATATTTCTTGTGTATATTATTTTGTAGATTCATTCGTTTATTACTTGCATGCGCCCAGTTATTATAGTTGACGAAGCACATTTGAAAGGTCGATACCTTGGAGTAAACTTATTAGCAGTAGCCATGGATACTAACAATGTGATACTTCCAATAGCTTACGGGGTTGGCAAATCTGAAACCTCTTATTCATGGACATGGTTTATGGGGCATCTTAGGGATTGCATAGGTCCTATTAGCAATCTGAAAATCTTATCCGATCAGGCAAACTCAATTGACAACGCTGTTAGAAGGTGTTCCCCAGATGTTTTTCATGGACTTTGTGGTGTTCATTTGTACAGGAATCTAAAATCAAGGTCTGCTAGTATAAAAAATCACAAATGGACATACTGGAAGGTTGTAAAAGCTTATCGAGAAGTGGATTTTAATAAGCATATAAATTGTTTAAGACGTGTTTTGCCTCAATGTGCTTAAACACTAGAAGATGTCGGGTTTGAAAGATGGTCAAGAGTACATCAACTTGGAGCAAGATATGGTTTCATGACGTCTAATAGTGCAGAATCAATCAACTTTCTAAGTCGTCATTCCTGAAAATTACCCATTACTGTGTTAATGGAGTTTTTTCAAGCCTCTATTCAACAATGGTACTACAAGAAAAGAAATCATGCAGGTATTATTTCTTTAAATTCGTAACTTATCATATTTATATATTTTACTAAGTATTATTTATTTAAATTTACAGGAACATTGGAACGTCATGTTACACCATGGACTGAAAAAAAGATAACGAAACGTGTTGTGAAGTCAATGTCATGGAGAGTTGAACCATGTTCAAACACTTTGTTTGAAGTATTAGATAATAACTTAAATGGGATTATCGATCTAAATGCAAAGACGTGTAGTTGTATGAAATGACAAACATCTGTTTATCCGTGTGGCCATGTTATAAAAGTTGCTCTTCATCTAAACCAAGATGATTCAAGCGCATACGCTATGGATTGTTACACTACAGAAATATATCGACAGACTTATGTCGAGATTGTCTACCCTATTCCACATCCTTCTGAGTGGGACATACCAGATGACTTACAAACAGTTTTGCCACCAGTCATGGATAGCATGCTACTTGGCCGATCAAAAAATCACGATCGTATACCGTCTAAGGGTGAAGAGAAGAGGATATCGACATGTAGTCGGTGCAAGGAAAGTGGTCATACAAGGTTGACCTGTAGATCACCAGTGTCATCACAATCATCTTTTCCTCTACCAAAATATAGATCCTCATCAAAATCCAAAACTCATATGGTGCCAAGCAAAAGGAAATCAAAATCACAATAAAAAAATCTCAATCACAACCGGCTTCACATTTTGAGACTTATTAACTTAGGTGATTTTTAAATACAAACGTTGTATTATGTGTATTTTATGTGTGAATGCATACATTTTCAGTTAGACATGCATTAGTAACTTGAGTTTGAACATTGCTATGATCTGTTTAGTTATTATCACTTATCAGATTGTTGTCTGTTATCTTTTTTAAGGTGGTTTTCTTGAATTCGCAACGCGAAAGTCAAATTCACGTTGCGATTTTTTGTTGCGATTGTTGCGAAAGTGTACATTCAACAAGTTTTTTTTGCCTTCAACATAATGCAGATAGAGATGGACTTAAACAACAAATCAAATTTTACAAATCAATTAAACAAGAAAAAAATAATTCTTATTTACACATCTAAAAAAAACAAATCAACAGCACATTGATACAATTAGCCCCATACAGTAAATCCAAATGCTCCCAACAATAGAGAGCTTACATCCAAATACATTCACGCAGCTCACTTCAGGATTAACCTGCAGAAACCAAACATTTGCTCAAACAACACTTTCTACATATCTAAAACCAACAAA